TACTAACTATGTTTTATTAAAATCTCTTGGCTAGTCTTTTATGCGATTATATACAAATGGTTTTCAACACTGAAGACATGGACGCGTGCATTGCACTTACAAACTGTAGGGATTTAATAGCTCATGAGTAAGTGGCATTATCGTTAAGTACTTAGCGTCTGTAATCAAAGAACAACGATGCGTGAATTAGTTTATTTTAATGTATATACTTAGAAATAAACATTTTTACCTTTAAATATCCCAGACTGCAAACATAAGTAAAATATAAAGGATTCTATGTGCTTAAGAATTTTTCTGCAGTTTCTAAAGATTTAATGAAAAAAGAAGTTTATCATTTCAGATTTAATGGTGCTCTGTATTCTAGCAGCAAGTTTTGCGTAGGATTATTTTCAAAACAATAAGCATACATGAGATCATAATTCTGAACAGTCGCAATCAATTAGAAAATTTTTTAACATTATGTTCATCGATAAAAAAAACGCCAATAGGCCAATTATAGGTGTAATCTCAGAAGTATCTCTCCTTCTCTATTATATCAAATTAAATATGAAGATTATCGTTAAATAAGGCATTAAGAAGAGAACATATACTCTGCACAGCATAAAGTCCGACTGTTTCTTAAAAACATAGATTTGTTTATATGATTTAAATTTGTCGTGTATTGTCAGATAGATAGCTTTGCAACATTTTGATGTAATTGAATCCAACGAAGAAGGGACTCGCTCCCTGGCAGCCTGCCAGGTAAAAACTGGATTAGAAGAGATTAATTTTAAAAACTTCTGTTCTTATTGTTAAAAACTTACCGCAAACATTTACGACTTTAGCTGATAGTTGTTCATTAAGTATTTATTCCTTTTTAATATTTGTTTGATGTTCACTCATTTCTTTGAACAGCTTTGACGTTCACTATTTACTTGATTATTAAAATAATTTCTTTTTTCTGTCTTGTTTTTTCTTTTGCTTTTAGCTTTTTATCATTGATTAATCTCACTGTTCTGCTTTATAATGAGAGAGAAATGAAGATTTTTGTAAAAGAATTATTGATGATAATTATTGATTAAAACAACACATTTTATATTCTATAGTTTCAATAATAATTGCTTTTTCTTTTTTGGAATCGTTTTGGAAACACTGTGTTATTTTATTATGTTTAAGCATACAAAGGCAGGATACTTTCGTTGCGAACTTTCTAAGAGAAACTGATGCACATGGAAAATCCACGAAAAAACCCTTTAAGTGGTCAGATTAGGAGACTAAACTGGGTTTGAATTACTAATGGGTTTGCTGTTTTATTGACACCATCATTGGGTGGGTCTACGTTTAGTACAAAGCTATTTAAACATGTATCGAAACTAAATGATGAAAACTGAACGCATGCTTTAACATTTACGACATATTTGAATAAATCATATCTCGGTATGCCTGATGTTTATCATTTCAAAGGCATAACACATAATCAGAATATCTGTGTCGAAATATTTGAGATGTTTTTTGCGAGGGATTTAGATGATGTAAATATATTTGTCTAGTCATTGTGTATGTTTACGCCATGATGTTGATATATTTGATATATTTGAGGAAAACATATGTTAGTAAATTTGCTTGCTATTGTTCATTCGAGTAAAACGTACGTCGACATGTTGATGTTGGAATTGTAGGTGACAGACATAAGGTCTAGTTCAACTTCATTTTAATTGTAAGTAAACAAAGATTTAAAATTATTACAAATTAGTGTCAAGGGAAACTAGATTAATTGTTTACTTGTTAGAGATTTTGCTATTGTCAAGTAGAGTTTCTAATTGTAAGTGAAGCTATCACTCTCAAATACCTAAAAATTCTTCTATCGCAAACGGAATGAAATGAAAAAAATTAACTTGTGTGACAAAATCCTGCGTGGATATTCAATCATGGAGCTATTAAGCGATGAATGAAAATTCTAAATTTTCAAATATCAGTGTAAAACAAACTTCATACAATAGTTAGTTGCATTAGCTAATGAACCTATGAATTAAATTGCAATCTGCTGCTCGCGATTTTAGCAGTGGTAAAACGCTAACATGCAATATGTCATAAATTTCAAATCAATCGCAAATACAATTTCTAACGTAAAAAATTATAATTTTCAAAGAAAAATGAGTTTTCAATCATAATACATAACAAATTAATTTAAGAAAATAACGAATAATATCAAAAGATGCAAAAGAAGTGCCTCAAGCATACGAAACGTTAAATAAGAAAATAATTTTCAGAATTTCAAATAGATAAATTTAATTCTTTCTGTAGTCTGCGTTGGGTCTGTTAAGAGAAATGCTTTTAGTGTTCGTAGATGGTACTGAAATTCAACTGATGATATTATTATAAAAAGAGAAAAATAACCTATATCTCATGGATGTTTCAATAAAATATATATATATCAATCATTTCAAAATTGAAACAGTAAATTTGATTAAGACACAATAACACGCCGAATAAATACTAATCAGATTTTTCGGTTTTGCAGCTGAAGATGGTGGTTCGGTAAAACCATCAAAACTAGTCCTGTGAAAATTTTGTAAATATAACGCTGATTTTTGTTGTCTGACTTCTGAATTAGTAAATTTGATATTAAGAATCAGCGATGTAGTAAGCGAATGAGCCATAGATTTCTGAGATAGGGTTGAAACAAAGAAATGCTACGTAAGAACGGATCATTAAGCTCAAACTATCCACAACTCATAATGTACGTAAGTTGTTCCACCAGCTAGAAAACTTTCGATATCTTTCTCATTCGCAAAATTTCATAACGTAAGAATGTCTTAAATTTTGTAGGCTCTTAATACGAGTGAAAGGCTTAATGGTTACTTTAAAAGCAATCTTTGTGTATGTTCTTATAAATACTGATCATTTCTAAAAGTAGTTGTCTCAAAGTGATATAAAGGTTCACTGTTTTTAAAAATACTAGAAGGGCCGCGGCGTTATTTTTGTCTGCGCTGCTCTACCAATAGAATAAAACTAAGGAAAAGTAGCGCTTACACAGTTAAAAGCAAAATAAACTGATGAAGAAAATAGAGAAAGTTTTCAAAAATGCGATATGGAAACTACAAGCGAAACGCATATTTGTGAACAATGTTGGGGAAAAAGTTCACGGTTGATTAGGAGTCTGTTAATCTGAGAGAACAAAAGCTGACTCAAAAGTTTGCAAAACTGCTCGTACAGTAGATGCCGCTTAATATGAGCGCGATGAATGTTATAACTCGGATATTAGGTTATTACCGTAGTCTAGCTCGCTTGTATGGGAAATACATCGCTTACTGCGATCAACAATTGAATTATATGATCAAAATATAACAGATATATAGATTTTAAAATTTGCAGAGTGAGTGGGAAATCACGTCATCAAAGAGCCTGATTTCAATTTTAATCAGCCATTTAAAACTATACAAAAAAGCAAGCTTAGTTTGACGTAGATTTCAAAAACTGTATAGATTCTGGAGGGCGATCAGACAAGCTTCCTCTTCTTCAGGAGCAAAAACATTTCTGCAAAATGTTTTCCCTCTTAAAAAAGAAATTCTGAAAACATTTACGCTAAACTAACGTTGCTTTTTTTTTCCTAGTTTTAAATTTTGCATTGGCATGTTCACTTTTATTGAGGAATTGCATCTAAGAACACAACATCGGTCAAATAATTTCCGGAAACTTTATGAGCAGCATAAAGGAGCTTTTGAATTAAAAACATCAAGAACAGTTCATAAATAACCTTTTGCGTTTCATAGTAAAATACTGTGAAAATAACCCAAAATAAATAAATTACGCAGCTATTTTGAAGGATATATTTTGCCATCGTTTAATGCTATCAAAATAACTGTGGACAAATGTGATCACATTAAACGGCCCCTATTATATATCTTTTACCCAATATTAAATATGGGTACTTTGCATCGGGTTTCGGGTTCTGTGAAGGCTATACTGCGGTATATTTGAACCTGAAGTTAGTATTTCGTCGTACCGAAAGGATCCGTTTAGTAGTACATTATCACATGCTGAGTGAGGAAGTCGTCTATATATGGCAGATATGTAATTGAATTTTGTGCTAAATTTGAGAGGAGCTATGATGAAACACTTGAAGTGTTAGAACGCAGTATCAACATTTATAGCAGAGACAAAATAACTATGCCGGTGTTTAAAATTAAGAGACTTTCACATTGGGTCGATTACCTCGGATACTAAAGGATAGTTTTTAATGAAATTTAGTACGAGTGAATATTTAACATAATTTTAAACGTACGCGATAGTAAAATCATGGTACACACACAAAATGGTGAGTAAGGTTCATTGGTGCAGGAAGCTTTAAAACAATGTTCCAAAGTTGGACAAAAAAAGGAACTAATAAAGGATATGTTCCCTTCCAACAGTCGTACGATTTTCACAAAAGTACCTTCTTCTATTGCATATATCAATCCATCTTTCAAGAATAAGAATAACAAATAATTATGAATAAAGTTATATTTATTGAAGCAGCGACAAATGAAGTTACAAAAATATCACATATACCGTAAATACTACTTAGTAACTAAAATCATTGTACAAAAGTGTAATATTATCACAAATTAAATTTAAAAGGAACTGTTTTAATCTTCTGCAACTGCGATTAGACGCTTACTCCTGAGGAGGTTAAATGCGCTTCAGTTTGCTAAATTTAAATAATTTACGCTAAGTTATATCAAATGTTTAGTTATTAGCAAATTCTTCTTGAATTGAAATCTTCTTGTAAATTTTGAATTATTCTCGAATTTCTTTAATTTGGAACACACTTCGTGAACCAAAAATGCAAATCATGAAAAAACAATGTGCATTTCTTTTAACACAAAAATGCAGTTAGGCACTTAAGCAACTTATAACAACTTCTTACAGTGGTCTTTTGTCAAAATTACTTCTCTGTAATAGTACGCAATTTATGTTATTAAAATAGACAAGATTTCGCTGCCTTCGCTATAATTATATTTTCTTGCAATTTATTTTAGGAAATAGAAGAAGATGATCTCTCGATCACCTATCCTCGCGAGCCTTTCCACAAGAGCGGTGTCATCACACCCGTCCACCAGCTAAAGAAAAAGAAATTCTCTGACATTACTTTTATTGTGGGAGCTCCATCCGCAGCCAAAAAGTACACCGGACACAGGGTGGTGCTTGCTATGACAAGTCCAGTCTTTGAGGCCATGTTCCAAGGGGATATGGCTAACAAGAGCAGAGTCGTTCGTGTCACCGATATCCATCCCAGCGGATTCGAAAATCTCTTAAGGTATGATGTAGACCATTGAATTTATATTAGAAAAATGCATTTGTCGCAGAATACTAGTATCATATTAATGATTTACTAATGAAAATGTAAGAAACATATGAAGTCTTAAGAAAGCCATCTTTCTTCTTAGAAAAAAATCAAGAAATGTTCCTAAAGTACAAAAAGCATTCCTTTAGGAAGGTATAGGTTATAAAAGCTGCTTATTAAATGAATATTCTTACCGTTATATGTTTCACAGCTAATTTACACATTGCGTTTTCAAATTTTTGCAATTTGTTTTCGGACATTTGCGTTTTGAAAGTTATTTGTACTGTTCTTGCACTAAATTTTGAAATATCCCCTTCACAATTTTTTCTGATGCATCATTTTGTCTGTTTTCAAGCCTTGCTTGTTATAAAACAAATGTCATTAAAACATTTTTAGCAATAAAATAATTTATTCGAAAAGTGATAATTATTGGAATGTGTCGCAAACACTTTTGGACACTCGAAAGTTTTGCTGATATATTTTTGGTGAATTATATTCCTTCTTATGATTACTACTTCTTTATAAGAAATAAAGGAAGCATTGTATTCGCGAAAAAATTTGGGTTCCACATTTCAAATGAAATATCCATTCTGACCGAAATATATTTTTACTATTTTTTTGGCCTGATATCTGTTCGTATGGGCAAAATAGCAGACTTTTTATTCTAAAAGGGATTCAAAATGAAATTTTTCACGACGTCTATACGTAAGTCTATACGTAAGTAGATACGCATATATCTCGCATAACTCGGAAACGATTGACCTTAAAAAGGTAAAACTGTGTACTCACAATTTCACTTTTTTAAGGCAACAAGGTGGACAATTGTTAAGGACTGATCACAAAAAGCTATATAGCGCGTAAAAAGGTAAAAGTGGTTATATGCCATGTGAAATAAAATAATGATAGAATACTAGGACATAACAATAACAGTAATTTATTGTGCTCTGAATTCTAAAAAGCTTTGAAAAGTGCTCAAGAGACAAAATGGTAATTTTGTGCTGAATATGCAAAAGGGAAAAAAATGAAATTACCTTCACACAGGCATTCGGGTGTAGATGTTAATATGGGATATGGTCACCTTGGAAGGCGTTGCAAGATTCCACACGTCGTGTTATGCTTTGCACAACACTATCTAGCAGCTGTTGGGGCAATTTATCCCAGTCCTCTCTCAGTGCACAGATGAGGCTGTCCTTATACATTGAAGGGGATTGTCGACCAGAAGACGCCTTCTCAAAGCAAAAATTTTCATTGGAATTTAGATCTGTGGAACATACTGACTATACGGGGAATTGAATATCCTCGCTCTCTAGACACTTATGGACAGCGATTGTTTGATGACATGTTATGTTATATGAGTCTATACGGGGAATTGAATATCCTCGCTCTCTAGACACTTATGGACAGCGATTGTTTGATGACATGTTATGTTATCGTCCATGAAAACAAATTTATCACGGACAGCACCACGTAGCATGCGAACATGAGGCAGTAGAACATTATTAATGTATCATTGGACAGTCATAGTCCCAGTTGGAAGCACATAGAGCGACGTACGGTTCTTTATCATGATCCCAGCCCATAACGTGACACACTACATGTAGGATATCGTTCTCCTTTCTGTATATTTGTCGGACTATACGCATTACCACTCTCATACCACATCATTTGTCGTCTACATACAGACGAGAGACTGAACCTACTTCTATCTCAGAATAGTACACAAGCCCAGTCGTCTTCCCTCTAATTTCGATGTTGACGAGACCATTGCAAATGTGCCAAATAGTGACGTCTAGACAATGAAATCCACAGAAAAGGACGGCGAGCATTTGTTCCTCCTTGATGCAAACGTTTGACTAGAGTTTGGAGATTCGTTTGCCAATAGCAACAAATAACTGATTTTCTACCTCAGTAATTGCTATGCACCGGTTCCTTTTAGTCGACAGCGCTACGTACTTACCTTCTGCCGGTGTACTGCGAACACGACTTTTCCGTGACGTTTGCTACACATTCCATTTGTTTGAAATTATTTTCAAAGCCTTGAAACGACACTGCGATTGACGTCGATCTCTCTATCAACATCTGTTATTTTTGTATATTTCATTCTTCTTCAATCTTTCTAGTAATAAATCCACACGCAATATCATCTAACTTAAATGATTGAATGATGAATGATAAAATGATTATCTTTGAACTTGTTTTATGCCGTCCGATTATATCTTCTAATTTGTGTACTTTTAATTTAAAAAGAGTGAACTGGTTTTTATTTACTGAACTTTGTAAGAGAGAATTGTGTAACTTGAATATCCTTCTTAACAGTTGCTCTGATTGTATTGCATTAGAAAATATTGTAAACAGACTTTCTACCGTTGTTTCTAATTGTGCTTTTCTTTCAATTCCAATGAAGAAAAGTAAGAAGAATGGGGTCCCTCGGTTGGTCTAAGGAATTTGATTGTTATAGAAAGCATGTAAATGCTGCTAGGCGTAGATTCCAGAGAGAAAGAAACTGTCTTCTTAAAAATATTTATAAAATTAAATATTTCGAATTGCGGCATAAGTGCAAGGCTAAATTAGCTAATGCTAAGCTTGAGTCGTGGAGAAATTTTCTCTCAACTATTACTGTTCACAATGTTTGGAAATCTATATACAAGTATGGGGTTAAGACCAATTTTGCGAAAATGATTGAGATTTCGGGAATTAAACTCCGGGATGGCAGTGTTACTTCGAGTTTGAGTGATACAATTGTTGCTATAATGACAAAGAATTTCCCAAAAGATAATGCGCGTGATGATAGAAATTCTCAAAGAACTATGCGCACTGAGTCTGATGGACCTTATATTTCTTTTATGGACTGTCCGTTCTCTACTTCGTCTTTTGCCTACTTTGGGAAAATGTCTTGAAACTCTCTTCATTAACAGAATAAATTGGTATTTGAGACAAAAATGCTTTTATAATGATTCTCAGTTCGGATTTACTCCTCGGAAGTCCGCTGAAGACGCCATTATTCGCCTTTTTAATATCTTGCAGTGTGCAAAGGAATGAAGTATGCTACACTTCTTATTTTCCTGGATTTCAAAGAAGCTTTTGATAATGCTTGGTGGCCATCTATCTTAAAAATTTTAAAAGATGCTGGTATACCACATAATATCTATAACCTTCTTAAAAGTTTCTTGAACGACAGGACTGCTGAGCTTCAGCTTGGGAACGAAGCTAAGGTTTATTCTCTAGAAAAAAGGCTGTCCTCAAGGCTCTGTATCCGGACCTACTCTTTAGAACATAATCATAAATGACATTTTAAGTCATCTCGACGGTTGTTTAAAAATTGCGTTTGCAGACGACTTACTTTTAATTTTCCAAGGTAGGATTTTGAATAACATTCTTTTGAGAGCACAAGAAGTTCTAGATTTTGTCTCCAGTTGGGCGATTTCTCATAAACTCACTTTCAATCCTTCAAAAAGTAAAGCTATGCTTGTTCCCTGTACGTTTGATGAACAAAATATTGCTTCTTTGATGCTCGATAATTCTCCGTTGGAATTTGTAGAAAATGTTAAATATCTTGGTGTCATTCTTGACCAAAAATTAACATGGAAAAAGCACATTGAGTTCCTTTCTGCTAAATGTGAAAAAATTATTAATGGCTTTCACCGAATTGCCAAAAATACTTTTGGAGTAAGCTACCATGTTAAGAAACTCATGTATAAGCAGTGTATTGTACCTTTCATTGTCGTGCTTGGGGACATGTTCTTGCCAAGAAGGTTAACAAAAGAAATTTAAGAAAGATTGAACGGAGAAATCTTCTTCGTATTATTAGTGGCTATAGAACCTTAAGCTATGAGGCTACTTTTGTTCTTGCAAGAGTTCCGCCTATTGATTTTGAAATTGCATATAAGAATAATATTTCTGAGTCATTGGCAACTCATGCTTCGGAAGATTGTATTAATGGAATTGTCCCCTTCACTGATCTTCCTCATCCCGCTTCTTTAGAACCCATAAATTTCTGCGATTATAAAGAGACTGCTGAAATAAGTTTTCATATGGTTTTCTTTACAGATGGCAGCAAGATGAACAACAAGGTTGGCCTTGCATTTGTTCTTTTTGAAGGCCATTCCGAGATTTGTTTTCTTAGACACCGTATACGGAATGAATGTACAGTTTTTCAAGCAGAAGTTCTGTGCATTTATCTTGCCGTCAAATGGATTCAGGATCATGGGACAACATCCTCAAAGTACCTTTTTTGTTCTGATTCTCTTTCTTCTCTTCAACTTTTCAACAGTATTACCAGCTTCGATAAATTAGTTATCGAAACCCTAGTAACTGTTAGTTCACTTAGAATTAGAGGCATTGATATCTGCTTTGCTTATGTGCGTGCTCATCATGGTTTCTACGGAAATGAAAGAGCTGATTTCTTAGCTAAAGATGCCTTAAATTTACCCATTGATATCAACATTAGCATTCCAAAGAGTTATTGGAAGTCCTTTCATTATAAAAAGCTTTTAGCTATGTGGAATGAGGAATACATTTCATCTTGTAACGCTGAAGTCACCAAAAAGTTCCTTCCTTCTATTTACCATAGACTGAATTCCGAGTCTTTCCTCTCGTTAAATTTTAAAGTGTCTCAATTTTTATGTCGTCACGGTAAATTTGCAAGTTAACTGTTTCGTTTTAATCTACGATCAAACAATTTATGTGAATGTTCAAAAAGAGTTCCTCAGGATGTGGAACATTTGATTTTCTCGTGCCCTACATTTGATGGCCCTAGACTATGCTTACAGAACGATTTGAAAGTGTTCGGAGTGACTTGGCCAGTGAACTTATCTGTTTTCGTGAAGTCCAAACTGCTGTTCTCTGCTTTTGTTCGCTTTATTTATGCATGTAATTTTTAATGTTTATTTATACATGTAACCTTTAATGTTCTAGTTAACTTACTTCTGTAAGCCCCGTGTTGTATATATGTGGTGCACGGGGAGTCTGTATGT